CTATATATATATATATATATATATATATATATATATATATATGAGATTGGATTTCAATATTATATATTGTCCCTAACGACCTCTTTCATTGCAGAATACCTCCCGTGAAATAGGAGCCCGGTCTCTTGGACGAACACATATCCGATAACAAGAAGTTTGGCCCCATGTCAACCAATTTGGCCAAAATCTCATAAACCATTAACAGAAGAAAAGAGAACCATTATTAACAGAAGAAAAGAGTGCTTCCATTTCAATTCAACTGATTTGAGTCTCTCTCTCTCTCTCTCTCTACTAACTGGTGACCTTGATGAGACACTACATGTCACGTTGTGGCACCCGCCACCCCGAGAGGACCACTGCCTGGAGCTCTCTTTCTCACTGACACACACCCACGCAGCCAGTTGCATCAGCTTCTTGATGGCGGCCAAGAAAAGGGATCTTCTCTACCATACCTACGATTTGGTTTCTTAATCCTTCCAAGGATTTCAGCTAAATGGGCATCCATGCTAATTGTAATATTGACAGTTCTCTTCGAGATGTAGATATCAAAGTGGGGTGGAGTTCAACAGGTTACTGCCATACATAAAACACGATGGCCCTCTTTTGTCTTTTCCAATTATTTCCCTCTTGGGTCAGTCAAAAACAAAATTTTGTATCATATTTATGTAACTTTTCCATTTATGAAGCTTGAGCCTGTCCCATGATTAATCCAGGAATGTTGTCGTTTGTGATTAAAGTTCGGCAGGATGCCACCATGTTGTCAACCACTAGAATATGCGGTTGGCTGTCTTTATATTCTTTGCTTACTAGTTTTATTGGGAATACCAGCTTGTGAGCCTATGTATTGAGCTTGTTCTGGTCCAGCCACCTGAAAGGTTGTTCAGAATGGCTAACTGCCTCTTGACTAGGCTGCCTTTTTTAATTTAGGGCACTTTTGGTTCTATTTTCATGTGAAAAAACTCCCATATGATTTGGGGTGGAATTTTTTTCACACCAAATGACCGTCAATTGGTGTGAAAAAAATGTGCTTGGATCCATTGGTATGAAAAAATTATCATACCCAGTCACATGAGAGTTTTTTTCTCTTGAAAAAACTTTAATGGAAGTATTTTGATGTGTGTACTCCAAAGGAAAAATTGAATTCGTTCGAAACAAAAAAGGAGCTTTAAAAACCATTTTGGGCCTACTAGAAATTTCAACCAGTGGATTGTTTGCCACTAATCGATGTGGTCCATAAACAAGTTCAAACAATTTGGGAAAAGATAGATAAAGTTTACAGATTTGAAAGAATTTCATTTTCAAATTTTGGGTTAGTTTTACAGATTTGAAAGAATTTGATTTTCAAATTTGGGGTTTAAAAGTAGCTTAACACCAAAAGATGTTTTAGGAGTTCGATTTTGGAGAGTCTCAAGAAGTACATAATAGGTAAGTTCTTCTGCATTGTTTAATTTCAATGAATCTGTTTTTTTTCACTATAAAACTATAAAATATTTCTTCTTTTGTTTTTCAAAATAATCTATATCTATGTTTATCTAGGTCTCAATTAACCTAGATCTGGCATTGATTTGCTAACAAATAGCTAGATCATGTATTATTTTCTTTAATTTTGATTTTATTTTGAAAAAATATTTAGAAATCCTATAAACCGAGAGAAAAATGCACTTTTTTTTAGCATGGAATATGTTTCTTATTATGATATGATCATTTTGTATGATAGTTACTATCTCCAAATTTATTTTTAATTTATCATGACTATTCATGATTTTTAAAGGGCATTTGCCCTGTCTTTTTTTCCCTCACTATATTCAATATTTTCTAATTTTTGCTTTTTATTAACCACATATATACTTTATATTACGATTTTTACATGTAATTGGGTGTTTGATGCTTCCAGGGATGCAAATCCCCACCCAGTCACATTTAGTTTAGGTTGAATTTTTTTCCTTTGAAAAATTGAGAATCTCCAAATTTTTGGGCATTAAAATACTCAAAATATCTATTTTTGTGAGTATCTTTGGTTATTTGATGCTTCTAGGGATGTAAATATCAAAACGAGATACATTTAGTTCAGGTTCAAACAACTTTTTCTTTTTTGTTTTATCAAGAAAAATGACGATTAATTCTTTCTCATAGTTTCTTGCAATAATAAATACTTGCTTCATTAAAACATTGAGAATGGGGAATTTCTTCAGGGACCTTCTTGTATAAGTAGGTTCAGGTCTACCTTTCTATTATTTAGAAATATGTCATAGAGGATATCTCATGGGAGTATGGGATTAGGGTGCATCCTTACAAGAAGGAAAATGTAGATATGAAGGGTGGATTAAGCTAAATTTATATGGGAGTTCGTTTGGCAATCCGGGACTTGCTGGGATAGGTGGTATTATAGGAATAGTAATGATGTGCTAAAAAAATATTATGGACCAGTCGGGGTGATAATGGCAAATGAAGCTGAACTTCAGTCTGCTTTACAAAAGTAATTAATATGCGGATGGTGGTGGTGGAAGGAGATTCAATGAATGCGATAAGATGGATAAAAGAGACAGAGATACCATGGGTTTTTAGTGATTTGATGAGGGAACCGTTTGATTGGTGTATCGATATGGGGTGTTCCTTCGTTCGTATGTATATAGGGAGAGAAATTTGGAAGCAGATACTCTTGCAAAGCTAGAGTTACTACTGAAGCCTTAAACTTAATGTAGTTTGGTTCGTTTTTTTTTTTAGTTTCATGTTTTCTTAAAGATATTGTAATTTGTTGTAATGACCGATTGGCATTTGATATTGATGTACTCTATGAAGTCTTTAAGGCATAAAAGATGTTACTATTTGTTAAAAAAAAAAGAACAAGAAAAAAGTGGATATGGCTTTTTATGGAGTAGAGTGGCAGCACAGCTACCACAAACATTGGTCAGTGAGGTTGAAGGGTGCTGCTGCATCATGCCCAAACGCGCGAAAGAATGTGATGCAACATATGTTAGTTACTACTACTGGGAAAGGCTTCTATACTTCCCTTACATCATAGAACATTTATGTTTTCCGTATCATCCAGCCGTTTAATTTTGATCAAGTGAGTCATTTATCGTCTGATCTTAGATCCGATGCTTCAGATTATTTTATTTTTAATTTTTTATACAAATTGTATAAATATGAAATTTGGTACGTGCTATCTTCTAATTGGGGTGCACCTATAAAAATATTGAAAATAAATTTTTGATAAAATATAATGACCAAAATACCCCTTGAATCTTTCAAAGGTATTTTCATCATTTTATTTCATTGGGAATATTGTTTTTATCTTTTTTACAAGTGCAAGTTTAATATAGGACTGGATGTCCAAAATTTAGTGTCAAAATAATTTATATAAAAAAAAATTAAAAATACAATAGTTTAGAGATGTGACATTGTGACTGAGGCAATCTTAGCCCTCCATTCATAATGGATGGTTAGATAAGAGGAAGTATATAAGTTTTATGTTGTAGGGGAAGTATAGAAAGCTTGCACATTACTGTTAGTGGGGAGAAAATGCTGCAAACAAACATACAATTTAGGAGATTCAAAAACACATTTGAACGTGGAGAAGCTTAGAGGACATGTATTACAAGAAAAGTAGAAGGGGGAGGGATGGTGCTGATGATATAAATTATCAAGGGTGTGATACCACAACAGTTGTCTTCATCTAAATCTCATGGACATGGCAGTGGAAACTATATAGAATCACATAAAATCAAAAGCATCAATAAAAGGAAAGCACTCAACCATAAAAATGACACAAGATTTAATGTAGTTTGGATACAAATTGTGACCTATATCCTTGGGAGGGTAATGCAAGACTTTACTTACTTGATTATAGAGATTATAAAGATAAAATAGCGCAAAAAAACCTCGAAAGCACAATAACTGTTTCTTTCTAAAACATAGCATAGAATAGGGCACCAAACACACCCCAATGGGTTATCCTTTGACTTTTATCTAAAACAAGTCTCGGAACAGGATATGAAAAAAATCCAATAAGATCACCCTATTCCCTGACTTTCTCTTACTAAAAGTCGAGGCACAAAAACAAGGCATCCACCCAACCCCCAAAAGATCCTTCACCTTCTTTTTCTTCTCTCTCCATCTCTCTAAAGCAAATGGAAGCAAGCCTTTTTTAATATAAGAGCTCTCAAAGAACCACAAGCCTTAGATTAGGTGCAATCTAATGGCATAGAAATAAGAGAGAAAAGTCAAGATAAATGTACATAAATGAAACCAAATCTTACATATACGATTCGCTTTAACATATACAAGAATCTCCCTCTTAAAATCAAATCACCAAGCTTCTAAAACAACCACAAAGTGTACTATTTACAATCCCTCAAGGTTATGTCTCGTTCAAATATGAACACTTTCTACACATCCAATATTTGTTTGTGGAAACCACTTTTAAAAGCGTATCAGCCACATTCTTCTCAGTGTGGATTTTATCCACTTACCAGTCTCTACGCTCTAGGACCAATCAGATGAATGGCACCAAACTTCTATATGCTTTGTGTTAAGAGTATAGAGAGAAAATGAGTGCACAAGAATTTACGTGGTTCATCTGATTGGGCCTATATCCACCTTGGGAGAATTAATCTGTATTATTATGACCATTCTATGGCTCTCTTGTACAGATATATAGAATTGTACATGATAACATTCTATATTGAAGAGTCCACAATAGGAAATAGTGATCAGCCTGATTAAGGGAAATCAATGTGATTTAGGAAAGCTGGTTGATATGCAGATAACACTGAGATACACTAGGATGTCTCAACACTTACCCTCAAGTTGGTGTGAAGAGATTGAATGAGCCCAACTTGTCAAGAGCATGGATGATTTCTTCTTGCCATCCGCTTTAGTGAAGATATCTGCAAATTTATTTTCACTTTAACATGAGGAGTACAAATCGTCTTAGCTTGAACCTTTTCCCTGACAAAATGACAATCAACTTCAATATGTTTAGTTCATTCATGAAAAACAAGATTAGTTGTAATATGGATTGCAGCTTGGTTATCACAAAATTATGGTATTGGCATGGCTGACTTGAAACCTAAGTCATTGAGAAAGGATTTTAACCAAATTAGTTCACAAGTTGTGGACACCATGGCACGATATTCTGCCTCAGTACTGGATCTAGTGAGTACATTTTGCTTTTTACTTTTCCATGTGACAATATTTCCACCAACAAAAGTGCAGAAACCTGTGGTAGATTTTCTATCTGAAGGGTTACCTGCCCAATCTGCATCACAATAACCAATTATGTTTTCATGTCCATTGTTTTTCATCCAGATTTTATGACTAGCAGAAGATTTTAAATATCTTAGAATTCTATCAACGGCCTGCATGTGAGAATATATAAGGGTATGCATGAACTGACTAACCATGCTCACAACATAGGTGATATCTGGTCTGGTAATAGTTAAGTAAATTAATTTTTCAACAATTCGTTGATATTTTCCAATATCTTGAAGAGGTTCACCATCATCGATAGAGATCTTGTTTACCTCAACTGGAGTATCAATAGGTTTAGCTCTAATTTTACAATTTTCTCTCAAGAGATCTAAGGTATATTTCCTTTATGAAAAAAACAATCATTTATTAGAATAAGCACCTTCTATACCAAGGAAATACCTTAAATTTTCTAAATCTTTAATATAAAAAACATTGCCGAGATATTTCTTTAGTTGATCAATCCCTTGTATGTGGCTCCT